TAGTTCTGTAGTATGTAGTAGAGGGGGCATTATTGCTTCCTTATAGGGTAACCTCGTTTTAAAACTCTTTTTATGCAAGTCTATGTTTATATTGTAGGAAGCTTCTACAGTAGTGATTTTTAACCTGATTTTTCACGAGTTCTTAGTTTTAGTTATCCCCATAATCCCGCCTCTACTCCTACTTCCCATGCCCACACCATCGAATCCTTCCTGTTCTAGTATTCTTATGTCTCGCTTTATGTCATGCTATTCTATATTCCCTCTCTCCTGCACAACATCTTACTAACTTCCTGGCCCCTGTGAGTATTCTGAATGAAACATACACAGTTAAACATTCAAAACTAATATCCACAAGTGAGAAAAAAACATGGTGTATTTGTCTTTCGGGGTCTGGGTTACCATGCCTAGAATAATTGCTTCTGGTTCCATCCATTTACCTATGAATTTCATAATTTTATTTTTATGAACAGTTAAATAATGTCCATTGTGAAATGTAACACATTTTCTTTATCCACTAATCAGCTGATGGTTCAACTACTTCCATTTCCTGGCTATTGTGAATAGACCAGCAATGAACATGGGTGAACAAGTGTCTCTATAGTAAGACATAGAAACCTTTGTGAATATCCCTGAGAGAGGCTCTGCCAGATTACAAGGTAGGCCTATTTCTAGTTTTTTTTTTTGGATGAACCTCTACATTGATTTCCATGGTGGCTACAACTTGCACTACCACCAGCAGTGAATAGATATTCTCTTTTTCCCACATCCATGCCATAATTTGCTGTTGGCATGCCCAAGAACTGTGCAAGCTCAAGACAGATTAAATCCTAGCATGGAGAAGGAGGTGGGCACAAAGTCCCACCCCTAATGGAGGAACTACTGGAAACTCATAGCCACTGGGAAATAGACAGTTTTTAATAGTGTGGCTCATGGTAGGTCCACTACCCTTCAGTCGAAGGTCACATATCTAAGAAGATAGGAACAAAACAATTTGGAGTTCATGGGTGAATAAAAGGACACAACTCTGGTTGGGTAGTGAAGAGAGTTCAGTCTAAGATGGGAGAGGGAGTAGGGGTGAACACAATTAAAGTGAAATTTTCACAATTCTCAAAGAACTAATTAAAAACATAAAACACCAGTATATATATTATTTTTGTGGATTATGGCAATACAGCATTCTGAAAATATCTCTCATATTCTAAGAGACTGGAACTTTGCTGGAGACCTCACCGTCAAAGTTAATAAAGCTCCTCCTGTGTGTTTAACTTGCTTTTTAAGAGAACAATGTAACAATCAACCTTATTTGCCTTTCATTTCCCATGTAATCAACTTTCATAAACAAACTAATGCATAGCTGTAATTCAGGGTTTCTTTGTGTAGCTTTTGTGGCTGGTCTCAAATTCCCAGAGATCTGCCTGCTTCTGCCTCCCGAATGCTGGGATTGAAGGTGTGCACCACCACTGCCTGTAATCTGTGAATAAAGATTATGCCCTCTAACCACCTTCACATGGGATTTACCATCTAACCCAGATGTTAGCTTCATGAGGGAAATGCTTTTAGCTGCTAAGTCATCTTATTGGGCCCTGATGGGCTTACTTTATTTTATATTTATTTTTGAACAGTGGTTATGGTATGCTTATGTGTTTAAAATGTAAGTGATGCATGATAATATAATGTAACATATGCTGCAAAGTCTTTTATTGCTAGCCAGTTTATTGTGTGTATTACAATTATTTCATGAACATTTATGCAAATACATAGGCTCATCCTTTTACACATAACTATGTGTACAGTGTTCTGCTTCCTTGGTGTTTTGTCTTGCCTTTTTTAAAAAACACTGCTAGGGTTCAAACCCAGGACCTTGTGCCAGGTGGGCAAGCACTGTACCACCAAGCCACATCTCTAGGTTTCCTTGTTTTTTATTTATCACTCTATCTTGAAGATTGCTCTGTTTTTGTACCCGCTTAGCACAGTAGACTCCCTTATTTATTTATTTATGCCTTCATTGTCCACAGTGTCAACCACAGTTCAAAGCTATTAAACAGCAAATTACAGAAATAATATATACATTTTATTATTACTTTTTCAGACAGGATCTGGTCTTAAGCTGGCATTGCTCTTCCTCTCTCTGCCTCCTGAGTGCTATGACTAAACACACAAGCCGCAACACTGGTCTATTTTCTACATTGTAAATGAGTTTTATTACAGTATGTATTATGTAGTACAGTTATAGTGCAGTGTAGTTACTCTATGATTGATTATCCATGCTGTAGCTCTGGTTACTAACCTTTTACTGTGCCTAATTTGCTTTTAAATGTTACCCTAATTATGTATAGCACACATACCCATTTCTCTCTGTGTGTACGTGCACATGCTTCTGTATTGTTTTGATATGAATGTGTCTCCCTACATTTAGGTGTTGAAATTTTAGTTTCTCAGTGTAGCATTGTTAGGATGTGAGACCTAGTGCTTTGGTTACAGACTCCTCCTGAGGGATTAACACCTTTCTCATGTGAGTTCTTGCCACAGGACTGTATTAGTTACTCCAAGACTGGGTTCGTAAAGTAAGACCACTCTGCATATATTCTCTGTCTCTGTCTCTGTGTCTCTCTATATCTTTGTCTCTCTGAAATGTGTCTGCTTATCCCTCTCTCCAGCATGAGTTGAGCAGTACAGGGACTTTCTATAGTCTGGATTTTTTCAAGTGTTTTAATTAGAACACAAAGTAAAAGGTTTCTTTATGGCATCTTCTTCCACATTTTGTGTTGATTGACCCTTCTTCCTCACTCTGTTCCCCATATCTCTCCCACACTTGTATCCTTCCACCCACAATAGTCCCCACTCCACTTCAAGTTATATGTAATCTAAATGGTCCTCAGAGGCTGTCTTCTTAAGGTTTCCTCCCCAGTGGATAGCGCTGTTAAATGCAGCAGAAACAAGAGACAGCAGGCCTCCTTGGAGGAAGTAATGTACTGGAGAAATGTCTGGGAAAATTATTATTGCGTCTTCAATGCCTTCCTATTCCTCCTTTTGCTCCGTATCATGAGCATCTTTGCTGAACCACATGTTCCCGACATGGTGTTTCCTTCAGCATAAGTCCACAGCAATAGGGTCAATCAGCCATGAACTGAAACCTCTGAAACGATGAGCCCAAATAAAAACATTTTTCTTTACGATGTTTGTCTCAGTTGCTTTTTCAAAGCAACAGAAAGTTGAATAGCACAAATCCTTACCTGCCATGGTCATTTATTCTTGGATTTCCCAGCTTTCAGAATTAGAAGCCAAAAAGTCCCTCTCTCCATTTCTGATAAATTACTCGGTTTCGGGTATTCTGTTGTAGCATCAGACAAAATTGTTGGAAACATGCACTGGAAATGCTGAAACTGCCCCCTTTGCATGAGTGATGGACCATAATGTATTTCTGTTGATGAGCATATATATATATATGTATGTATATATATAAATTAAAAATTATGTCTTCACTCACTTAATAGGGATTGCCTCATGCACCAAACAAACATAAGAAAGTCAAATTTCTGTCAAAAAGTGGGGTACAGAACTAAATAAAGAATTCCCAGTAGAGGAGTCTAAAACGGCTAAGAGACACTTAAGAAAAGTGCTCAACATCCCTAGCCATCCGGGAAATGCAAATCAAAACAACTGTGAGATATTATCTCACTCCTGTCAGAATGGTTAAAATCAAAAACACCAACTACAGCTTATGCTGGAGAGGATGTGGAGAAAGGGGAACACTTCTCCACTGCTGGTGGGAGTGCCGACTTGTACAGTCACTTGTATGGAGATTCCTCAGGGAAATGGGACAAGACCCAGCAATTCCACTCTTAGGCATATAACCAAATGATGCACATTCATACAACAAGGATGTCTGTTCCACTATGTTCATAGCAGCGTTATTTGTAATAGCCAGAACCTGGAAGCAACCTAGATACCCCACAACTGAAGAGTGGATAGAGAAAATGTGGTACATTTATGCAATGGAGTAGTATTCAGTGGAAAAAAAAACAATGGAATCCTGAAATTTGCAGGCAAATGGATGGCACTAGAGGAAACCATCCTGAGTGAGGTAACCCAGTCACAAAAAGAGAAACATGGTATGTGCTCACTCATATATGGATCTTAGACATGAATCAGGGGAGTGCCAGCATACAATCCCACTGCCAGAGAGTCTGGGAAACAGAACCTTCATCCAGTAACTGATGAAAGCAGAGGCAGACACTCACAGACAAACACTGAACTGCACTCCTGGAATCCAGCATCAGAAAGGGAGAACCGATGGGCAAAGGAGTTAAGACTGGGCTGGTTTAACCCACAGAAACAGTTGACCTGAACAAGGGGGAGCTCTTGGCTCCCAGATTGATGGTTGCGTGGAAAGCATGGGACTGATCCAAACCCCTGAATGTGGGTGTCAGTGAGGAGGCCTAGGTAATCTATGGGCCTTGGGTGGTATTTATCCCTGGCGTACAAATAGACTTTGAGTACCCATGCCACTATATGGGATGCTGTCTCAGCCAGGACTCTTGGGGGAGGGCCTAGGCCCTGCCCTGGATGAAATGACAGTTACTGGAGATCCACCATGGAGGGCCTCACTTTCCCTGGGGATCAAAGTGGAGTTTTGGTGGGGTACTGGGGGATCTGATGGGGAAGGCAGGGGAGGAGGGGAGGGAGAGGTAGCTGGGATTGACATGTGAAAAAAACTTGTTTCTAACTTAAATAAAAAAAATTAAAAAAAGAAAGCCAAATTTCAGAGGCCCTCTTGACAAAAATTATATTACCTTTACTTTTACTTCTTTTTTTCTAATAATATATTTGTGCCATAAGAAATAACAAATAACACTGTAACTAAGTACTCATTTAAATACCTTTCAGTCATTTTTATAAGCCCCGGAAGTCTAAAATTCCTATGTATATTAACATTGGGTAATCACCCTCTAATCTCAAAAACAAACCACACTCAAATTAATTATTTTCCATTAGTTAGATCAAGTCATAACAAATAAATTGTGTTTATTCAAAGTCCTATATCACTTTTTTTGGTTTTTCAAGACAGGGTTTCTCTGTGGCTTTGGAGGTTGTCCTGGAACTTGAGCTGTAGACCAGGCTGGTCTCGAAATCACAGAGATCCGCCTGCCTCTGCCTCCTGAGTGCTGAGATTAAAGGTGTGCGCCACCAACGCCTGGCCCCTATATCACATTTTAAGCCTCCCATCTAAAGTTCCTTAAGGCTTTAAGAATTTGGGTAGTGCCATGTAAGTTTCCCCATGTGGTTCTGAAGCACAAAGCAAAGATGATATGATCTTTGGTATCTTCATCCAAGATACTGTATTTGCTGATGACGTCAGCAAGAAGCCATTTCACATGTCACTCCCTGGAATCTGTTCATTTGTTTAAATCAATGTCCATGGAGTTCACACTGTGGGCAAGGTGCTCAGCTGGACCTGAAGATACAAAAACAAGATGAACTTCAAAGTTGAACTATACGTGAACATACAACTAATGGCAATGTGCCAGACATATATCACAGCAATGCCAAATATAGAAGCTACAGGAAAGTTAAGAATAAGAACCTACTCAGCAGGATGGAACTGAAGGGATAATAGGGAAGGCTTCCTTGAAGGAGCACCTGGTATAAGTTTGCAACCTGACTTACAGCATTCCTTGACAAATCTTAGAATTTAGTCTTTATCTGTCCCCTTTGACTTTTATAACCTGGAACATGTCCCCATTTCCACTCTTCAGGATATTCTAGTTGGCTTTATTTATTCTGACATTCCAAAGGCCAATGAGGATTAAGCTAGGAAATGACTGAGGGTAACCACCTCCAGCGTAGTCAAAGGAAGTCGGGAATGTGAGTACTTGGAGTGTTGGCCTGGTTTTAGTTTCTATTCAGTCTCCTTAATGAGACCAGAATCCTCAGTGTCCATATCCACCCCCAATATCTATATCCAAATCCTCCATCCAAGGTCTCCAAGGTGAACTTTCATTTGGGGGGTAGGTTTAGACAGGGGGTCACTATGCAGTCCAGGCTGGCCTCTATCTCACAATTGCCTTGTCTCATCATGAATGCTGTAGTTATAGTCATACGACATGATACCCAGCTAAGAATCGTTTACTTTCTTCTTGGTTCTACTGTAAATTTTCAAATATTTAACTGTGTGTGTGTGTGTGTGTGTGTGTGTGTGTGTGTGTGTGTGTGTGTACATGCCTTATCAGGATGTGGATGTCAAAAGGACAATATTTGGGAATTGGTTCTGTCCTTCTACCATGTAGATTTTGGTGGATAGTACTCAGGTTTTCAGGCAAGCACCTTTACCTACTGAGCTGAGTTGTCAGATCTCTATGGTATGTAAGGTTTTGTAAGACAATAGGCTATATGTACTAGTATGCTGAGACAAGAAACAATGGCTAATACTGAGAAGTAGAGGGGAACAAATTTTCCTTTTTGTCCTATATCCACCGTGATCTTTCAATTATTTTTGTAGCAAGCAATTTTACCTTTATGATAAGTTATTTCTGACAGACTATATATTGAAGGGAACATTCATGTACAGAAAATTATGCAAATCATAAACCAAATGAATTTTCATAAAGTAGAACTCATTGTAGTCACCACCCAGATTTTAGTCCTAAAATCTCAGAAGCATTTTGCCTCGTGTCCTTCCAGCCACCCTCATGTCTCACGGTGATAACTGCTTTTATGTCCTCTACAACCAAAGACTACTTTTGGCTGACAGGTTTTCACCAGCTTCTTATCCTACTAGCATTTGGTATCATTTACATTATTTATCTTAGTCATTCATATAGGTCTGTAGCATTATTTCATTTCAGCTTTCATTTGTATTTTCTGTTTCATGGGGTTTATGAGTATTTTTATTTAAAGATTTTTAAACAGATTTATAATTTTATTTTTGAAATTATGCATGTGCATATGTGTGTAGGTATGTGCATATGTGCAGGTGCAGTAGCCATGGAGAGCAGAAGATATAGTTGGAGCTATAGGTGACCGTGAGCCACACTATAGAGTCTGGAGTTTGAACTCAGATCTTTTGGAAGAGCAATAGAGCTGAACCATCTCTCCAGCCCCATCTTAGTACAAAATGAGAAGATTAGGTAAGGCTACGCTGTGTGCAAGGCCTAGTGTATCTTCATCAGGGTTCTCTCCATCCCCTTTTTTGAAATCCTGAAAACAGTGTCAGTGAGAGAGGCTGTCCCTAGAGCAGGTGGTGGCTTATATCTGAGGGAGAATGTGCCTTCTATTTCTCTGTCTTTATGGGAAATAAAAACCTTCAGAGGTAAGTCTTATAAGTAAAATTCTATCTCCTGAACACACTTCTCCCCTTAAATATAAGATCTTCCAAGGGAAACTTGGAAGAAATTTCTAGCCATAACAGGACTTTTGGAAGTCATTATAGCTTCTATAGGACTATAGCATCTACTGCTTGTGTATCTGGCAGAAAGACACTGTCCCCGTGACACCTTCCTATATGCTTCTAAAAGCTTCTCCCATTGATGCTGCCCATGGAACGATCACCCAGGGAACTCGTGATAATGGATATTTTGTCATCGAATCGTTGCCCAACATTCAGCAAGTACTGGGCTCTCTGATAAGTCTGGAGATCCGAAGTGAAGGAATAAAGGACAGCTAGCTATAAAGCTAGAAACGCAAAGGAGAAATGAAACACAGTGGACTGGGAAGGCAGCACATTAGAGAACTAGTGATGAGGGCGTGTGTACTGGAGAGCATGAAAGAGCAGGGGAGGGGGAGGAGGGAGAGGGGCAGGCAAGCTCTCTTGGAAGAATCAGCAGCAGAGCTGCTGGGGAGTTTTCTGGGCTAGAGAGGAATACACTGGGAATATGGCTATGGGAATGGGTAGCACGGGGAAGGACCCGGGGCTGGAAGTCAGGAGGTTAATGTCCATGTGGTCCAGTATTCTTGGAACCAAAGCTTTGCTCTGGGGTCTTCATAGCGAGAACATGGATGCTCAGTTCTAATGGTTGATTTTATTATTATTAGTAGTAGTAGTAGTAGTAGTAATCTTTTTATTACGTGGTTAAGTGTGTCAGGGATTGGGTACCCTGCAGAGAGGGGTACATTATTGGTACCTATTTTTCTTGACAGGTAAGCCTGAGTATTTGAACATTTCAGACTTGTCTAGATGTTTTAACCTGCCTTTAAAGGTTTGGTTTTGTTTTTTCACTTTTAAATGCATTTATTTTTAGACTGCCTTTAAAGTTTTAAACTGCCCATTGGATCAGGCTCAGCCTGCCTTATACATTTTCCTCTGGGGCTCCAAAGCAGCACACCGTTAGGCTATCGGGTAACTCTGCACCAGACATTTTCCATGCAGTATTGCCTTTGCAGCCTCAGATCCCCTGATCTGGCTTCTGGATTTACCCTGTGAGAGGAAACCCTCTCCTTCTCACTCTTCTTTTTCAGTTTCTGCTGTCATGCATGGGGTTGTCCTCTTCAGCTCTGACCTTTCTGATTTCTCCTGTGGTCCCTTCCTGACAACTTCTGGTGGGGGCATTGCTTCTGAAATGTGTTCTCTGCTCCCCGACCAGCCTCAAGTTATCCTGAGAGGAGCCATCTACTCAGTGACATCCTGACTTAGGAGGCCTCTACTTCTACCACCGGCGTCTCCCATGGCCAGCCTATGTTTTCTTTATGAATGGGGAAACTGAGGTTCAGAGAAAGGGAATGACTTACCAGGTCAGGCAGCAAAGGTGTCACTTGGCTGAGATGAGCCTGAGCCTCTTGGCTTCCAGCCTCATGTTCCTTTCCAGAAAGCAGACTGCCTTTCTCAAGGCTCAGGGCTTTGGGGCGGCAGCAACTCCCACCACTGCCTGTACTGTGCACCCATCCCTCTCAGGACTTCCTGCCTGAGCTACTTCGTGACTACCCACCAGAGCTGGCCCAACCGTGGTTCTGACTCAGCAGTCTAAGCAAAGGACATCTAGTCATGTCTTTAGATGATTAAGGAAGCATTGGGGACAGGAAACATTTTTTTCTAGTTGGGTAGGAGGCGGTGGTGCAAAAGGAGGCGGAGACATTCAACTAAACAGCGAGATTAGAATGGCAAGTGATCTCTCAGCATGCTAAGGAGGGGATGCTGTATTAAAATGTAGGAGTATCCATTGGATGTATTATGTCAATGAAGTATTTTTACTAACCTAGAGGGGGTCATGATAGTGAAAATATCAAGGCAAAACTAGGAAGTTCCCATGAATCCTCTTTTGTAAAAACAAGGGAATTGGCTATGAGTAGTAGTTAGAAATGATCTACGTTTTCCCTCCATCCTTGCATCCACACCAATTTTTGTCCACAAGCCAAGAGTTGGAAAGTGCTCACTTATTGTGTGCTCTCAGAGCTGTAGTGTGACAGGTGCTCCTTTGTGAATGAATGGCGTTGAGAACTTCTCTCCGCCACACTGGCCCACAATCCACGATGCCATATGAGTGTCCGCTTTTGAAGGTTCCCACCTGAGTACATTCACATCCAACTTAATGACCCTGGTTTTGGATATCAAGATATTTCCTGAATGAGGAGAGCAGGAAATCCCAGTGACCCTTATAGTTACCGGGTCGCTAATGCCTGCAGAGCTAACTCTTGAGGTGGGGTAACCAACCACATGGAAGAATGATTCAATAAGTAGTGGGAGTGACACTTCTATGGGAATGAAGAGTGTCCTCCAACAGTGTCCTCCAACAGTGGGACCTGTTTGTGTGATCTTATTGGGAAATAGTCTTGCCAAGTGTTGCTAGTTAAATTGAGATGATGTCATTCTAGGGTAGGGGGTGGTGGGCTCTAGTTCAATGACTGTTATCCTCTTAGCTGAGGCAACTTTGTAGTTGCTCTTAGCTAAAAGACGAAGAAGCGATAGAGGGGACAGGTTAGACATAGGTGCTTGTGTACACACACACACACACACACACACACACACACACACACAGTCACACACTAGACATGTGAGGAGGAAGATGATAGAGACACGTGGCAACAAGTTAGAGATCTTCAGGAAACCAGAAGGAGGAGGTCAGAAAGGAACCTCCCCTCGAGTCTTCAGAGACAGGGTAACCTTGCTGACACCCTGGGTTTAGACGTTTAGTCCCCTAGGTTAAACAACACTTCCATTGTTGTAGGACCTGGTTAATGGTAACTTGTTCTGCCAGCTCTTGGAAACAAAGCAACACTTCTACATAACAAATTACTCTTGTCTTTTGAAATGAGTTCCAGGAGTAGCAGAGGGGGAAGATGCTCAGTGGGGGCCCACTCTCGAGCAGAAGCGCCATGTGTTTCTTTAGATGGTACTGTACACCCCTGTGGGTCTAAGCAGGTGAAAAAGTTGAAAAGGCCCACAAGACTTCATAGCAAAGGGTTCTAAGATGCCTTTTGCTTTAACTTTGATTGTTAAATTTTCCTAAGATGAGTATATATTATTTGCACAAAACTACATGTCCATTATCTGTAATATACATCTGTAGCTATATCAAGTTAACCCATCTATGTTATCTTTAATGACACCTGTTCTTGTGCACTTAGAGAGCACTTCAAGTGAAACAGTCCTAGAGCACCTTCATTTCTTGCAGATAAGGCTAGGAACTACTTTCCAAAGGTGAGTGTGGGTAGTCAAACTGTAGCTTTATGTAGTAAGTGGTACTCCTCCAAGAGCTTGCCTCTATACGCACTGATCTGTTCACGTTGAAGTTCTCTGACAGATAAGGAAGCCAGGGTCCTAACAGCTGTCAAGCAGTGCTTCCACTGTTTCATTGGTCTTGATGCTTGCTCCAGGACTAGCTCTAGAACAGCAGTTTTCAACCTGTGGGTAGCATGTCAGACATCCTGCATATGATTCATAACAACAGCCAAATTACAGTTATCAAGTAGCAACCATAATAATTTTATGGTCGGGGGGTCACCACAACATGAGGAACTGTATTAAAGGGTTACAGCATTAGGAAGGGTGAGAACCACTGTGTAGACCATCAATATGAGGAACTGTATTAAAGGGTCACAGCATTAGGCAGGGTGAGAACCACTTTCTAGACCATCAACATGAGGAACTGTATTAAAGGGTCACAACATTAAGAAGGTTGAGAATCACTGTCTAGAGGGTAAGCTTTGTAAAAGCAGGACTTTTTGTCTCTTGTTTACTCATTACTTGGAGTAGTTCCTGGAATATAGTAAGATGAGCACATTTTCTTTTGAGTAAATCTATAGTTACAGTGCAATGAAAGCATGCTTCTCCTGCTTTTGTTTAAACCAGGCTGTGGTGTTCTGCTAAAGATGTGCAGGGTTGCTGAGGGCTCCTCTAATGCTCTTTCCAATGTCTCTCCTTCCATGCCCTGACTTTCCTCCAGACAAGAGATAGTTCAATTCATTCTTCAGGCTACCCTTCCAAATAACCTACAGGGAGGCTTCCATGTGTTGGCAATGCATGATGGAGATGAACACTGGAAAAGGCTCCCTGTTCAGACACAGCAGCTTCCAGTAAAGAGGTCCAGGTCTGAGAGAAGGAAAGGCTCTGTGTGCGAGCTCTGTCACCAATACTGTGACTAGTTTCTAGATCAAAGAACAAGAACTATTCAAAGAAACAGCAAGATGGAGACACAGGGTAGAGGGGAGGGCTGGTTGGAATAGTTTAGGAACAAAAGAAATGGAAAAATCTGAGAAAAAAAAGCCAGAAAGGAACACTTTGGTGAAACAAATGGGACTCTTTAATTGGAAACAAACGGGAAGGAGAAACGTGGAGGACTGCAGGCTGAAGAATCTGATATCTAGCGTCCAGTACTGCCAACTCCACTTCCCTAGTTCTCACCTAAAGGCAATCTTTTTACTTTGCACAAGGCGTCCTCCCTAAGGATTGTCCTTCCTGCCAAGGACTGGCCTCTACTTCTCTTCAAGTGAAAATCCTCCTGGTAAACTCCCACTGAGAAAAACATTGACGAAATTTATAGCTCCGCCCCCTCCTCTGGAAGGGATAGAGTGTGATTACTGTCTGCTTTGACTCCACGGGGTTGAAAGTGAGGGTGGAACCAGGGGAATCCTCAGATGGAAGGAGAGCAGGAGACTTTCGTGAACAGGAGGGAATTCTGGGTACCCCTTAGCATTCCACAGTTGCCCTCTCTCTGACCTTTTTCAACATATAGGGTGAGGAGGAGAAGTTTAAAGGAAATAATGGGCCAACTGATTTTAAGAAAGTTGCCTTTAGAAGGCATCACTGTCTTAATTAGGGACTATTTGTGAGAGATCGCTAAAGGCTTTGGGAGATCACACATTTATGAATCCAGGTAAGGTCGTATATACTTTGGTAAAGGATGTCTTCTAGGACCTTCAAGATGAGAGGAGTCTCCAGGGTGTTTTTCTGCTTTGCCAGCATTGCTTATTTTTGCTACCTGACTTCTAGGCTCACTGTGCTAGTTTGTCATAGAAATTAAATATCTATGCTGCTTGCTGCTCCTACAAAGTCTCAGACTAAGGAGACAGGAGTTGGTGGACAGAATAAGGTTTTATTTCCCAGTAGGCACTGGGGAAGATGGAGGGATTTGTTTGTTTGTTTGTTTTTTACTACAAATCTCTTCTTAGGGGCTGGTGATCCTGAAGGGCATTTGTGAGAGAAAAAGAAGAGAATGCAGTCAGGCATCAGGCAGCCCTCAGAGCCTTGCTCTCCTCAGCTAGGATTCCTAGGGCCAGCATCTGCATTTCCTTTGAGATTCTTAGCTAGTAAGCTGAGGCCAAGAGATCTTCTCATAGAGGTTTCTCTTCAGCTTTTAGAGTCCTGTATGAAAGGGGCAGTTTCTTTTTTTCTTTCTGCTTTTTGTTTTTGAATTGAGATGAGGTCTCACTCTGTAGCCCAGTATGGCTGGGTAGACCAGGCTGGCCCTGACCTTGTGATTTTTCTGCCCATGCCTCCACTACCCCAGTACTGGGGTGACATCGATGTACCATAACATATGGCAAGGAATGAGATCTTAAAAATAAGGAACATATTGAGGGTGAGAGATGAAAGGAATTGATTTTGTTAAAGACATCTTGCCTAGATATTTGATGCTCTGTTATATAACCATTGTGGGAGTCTCAGCCAGATGTGGTGGTACATGTGGAAATCCCAACACTACAGAGACTGAGGCAGGAGAACAGCAAATTTGAGGTCATTCCAAGGTACAGAGAGAGAATTTGACTCAATAGAGTAAAACACAAACCCCAAATGCCAATTACTCATGTGCCTATACCTAACAATTAACACATGTTGCCTTTCAGTGTTCCTACCAACTCCTCATCTTGCTCCTTTCGCTTCATTTTTTTTTGAGATAGCAGCTTGCTATGCAATCTAAGCTAGCCTGGAATTCACAAAAAAATCTTCTCCCACAGCCTCCAAAGAGCTGACATTACAAGCATGGGTCACTAACTTCTTAAGCCAATCACTTGTCTCAAAATCTGCTCTCAAATGTCTATGTTCCTTCGGCTTGGGATATGTGAGAATTTTTCCAGCGGTGTGTGGAATGTGGGCATGTTCCTCACAGAGCTGGGGAACGGTGGTACTTGCTGCATTTTCAGAGCTAGCTCCTCTGAAACCGGAAATGTGAGCAAAGCTGACTTACTGTTAATACTTTCTCTTACTCCTGTTAAGACTGCACTCGCTAGCAGCTATGCGTGAAAACCACAGTAGAGCTTTTGTTCAGGGGAACACTCGTGGCTTTTGCACAAGTTACTCCTAAACAAAGGCTGAGGACAGCGTATGACACTTTTCAAAGCAGCTTCTGGATTTGTATTTCACTGAAATGGAGATCTTTGAGCAAGACCGGAAAGACAAAATCTATGTTTCATGACCTCTGCAGGAAAGAAATAGTTGCACTGTGGAACATTCTAGAGCAGCAGACTCAAACCATGGCCCGGAAGAACAGCAGGCCTTTTTGGGTAGGAGGGGGCCAGACAGG